TATATATATATATGCAAGTGGTTTTCATTCAACTCCTTAAAACTTAATGCACAAGCATAAGATAAAGTGCAGAATAATAGGGGTTATGCACCGGGCTTGCCTGAGTAAGATATAACCAAAAGTTAGCATTCCATCATGGTGACATGATCATCAAGGCACCATCTTTTCTACTACTTCGGTCGACTCCATGATCTATCGTTGTTCCTATTATGATATACGTGGATGCAACGCAGAGACGTAAATAATCAACGACAACTGCAACTCTAAAATACAATTACGCTCCGCAAGCTAACGAGCTAGCTTTAATGATTAACGTACTAGTCAACGTATCCACGTCGTCAAGTAAGGCTTCGCCTCCGGAAAAATGTTTTAGTTCTCAAATCCCAAGGTGTTTTGGCATTTTAATGATTAAACATATATTTTCAAACTAGGGCTCATTTAGCTACCTTAGCAAACAAATTATTATGGAGCTACAAAAATTACAGTGAACACCTAATAATGTTAGAAATTTACTGTGAAAGTTTTAGAGCCAACACTATCACCAATTTATCACAAAAATTCTTCAAATTTATATCTTAACAACATTAAGCATCTCAAATTAATTAGATCACTTCTAAAAATATTATAAAACTATGTGAACAAAATATACTAGCAGGCAGATCATGATTTTAGGAACCTAACAAAATTGATTTCACAATTTTCGGTTAACTACACAATTTTATATTGAATTTACAAGTTTACCTTAGAGACTAAATTAGAAAATGCTTAGAAAAGGAAAAAGGCTAGTGGCAACCATTTGGCCCAGTAGCCCGGCTTTGCCCAACGCGGAACGCGGGCGCGCGCAGCATGCCGGCCTAGCAACGGCCTAAGGCCGGGGGCGCCCGCGCGCGACGACTGCTTTGGAGAAAAGCCCCCGTGCTTTTAGATAATAACATGACTACTATGCGCACTATTCCTACCATCAGTAGTCTTGCAATTAAACCCTTAGATGTTTTCACATTTACCACTGGGAGGTCCTTGGGGATCCCCCCGCGCGCCGACGTGGCGACCGACGGCATAAGGCGGTTACGCCGGGCAACCTAGGCGTGCTATGACGGAAGTAAGAGGCTGACCACCATCTACAGCTAAACGCGCAAGGATGGGTGGTGGTTAGGGACTCAGAGGCGCACTGTCAGGCTCTGCAGCGGCACGATTGTTTCGACAACCTAAGGTTCTATCGGGGTGGTAGGGATAGCAGGTAATCACCAGTAGCTCACCAAAATTCATGCTGCGGTGGCGGTTGAGGTAGAGGAGCGCTGAGGTGGCCTGGCCATGTGTGCGTAGTGATATTGGTGGCGCTCCAAGGTTGACACCAACGCGTCAGGTCCTCACTCGCGTCGTTCCTGGTCAAACGAAGATGAGCAACAGCATGAGGGGACCAAGGTGAGCTCATAGGAACAACTAGTTGAACCCCTACCGAGAGGTAGGGCCTTACCCCCAAGTCATGCTCTATTTTGGAGACATGATGACCGGTGAGGCGAGACAAAGCCTCGATAGGGGTCACCTGGCTAGTCGACTCCCTAGAACACTTGCTGGTGTAAGGAATTGAACTACGAAGCTCCGAGCTAAGCGAATCAAGAGGCAGAGAGTGCGGTGACACGCTGTGGTCATATCGTGGAGAAAAGCATGCGGATGAGCTCGAGCGGTAGGACATGTTAAAGCGGGGCTCCTGCCAACGGTGGCAGAGCGAGCTCGTACACACAGGTGATGAGACCAAGCGGCTTGGTGCGACTCGCTTGAATTGGAGCAGCCAGACCCAAGTTGGTCGCACCGGTGTCAGCTAGAGAGGGCAAGTGAGGCATCCCATCGCCACCCTGAAGCTGTGGTCGGCTGACCCAGACGTGGCGAGTGGCGACATGGACTCACGGTAGGTGAATCGTAGGGTAGGGCGATTGCCACGTAGCCATGGCAACAACAGCCCCGGCCTCAGCCCGACCCTATGCGCGGATCAGTAGTCAAAATGGTGCGCACACGGCGATAGGGGGGGCACCCGACAACAGCATCGGGACAATGCCTCGCCATGCGACCACACAATGGTTGCACCGGCGTAGCGCAGTGGCAGCCCTCTTTGGCATGGCGCAACGGTGCACATAGTAGCGCGTCAGCGAGGTGGGGCAGCAGCGAGACGGCCAGCAGCTGCACGGGCGACGACAGTGGCCCGTTGGGCCGGCGATGGCCAACCCACGGCCATACAGGCCGACCGGGCATCGGCACCACGACGCGCGGAACGTGGCCAACCGCGCGATGCCGAGCGGCCGCTCGAGGTGACCGTGCGCACAGGCTAGGCACATGACGTGCAAAAATTTTAAAGCAAAGCAAAGGATGCTGATCATCTCAACCGAAGTTCAACCAATCCTATTGACCTAAAGTCGACACTACCAGCTAGCTAGCGGAGCAATCGTCATGACCCGAAAGCAACCAGAGAGGGAGATAAATGATGCCAACTTGGGTTCGTCGCTGGAGTGTCGGTTCACGAACAGAGCACCAACAACTTGGTTTACAGCGCGTTCCAACGAAGTTTGGGCAATTTTTACAAGAGCAACGTGACATCCAACACAACTTCAACCTATGCCATGCTCAAGCACTCACTTTGATGCAATCAACAATACCAAAACATGTGGCTAGTGTTTAAACATTTTTGTTAGAAATTAAATAGTCAAAATAGCATTGTCTTACTAATTTTTCATACTTAGAAAAGTTAAGGATTTCAGTTGGTGCTAAGCAACCATTAACTCTTTTGTCGTAATTTTTAATAGGTCTAAACCTTGTTAACTTCAACCAACAAATACTTCATGCAAAAGTCCATACCTTATACTAACCCATAGGAGCAAAATATTTAAGCACCATTTAACTATTTTGCTCAATATAATTCGCCCAAAATGGTATTTTAACAATAGTTCAAGTGTTTGCCGACTTAACGAAAAGAGCTTATCTTAACGTCAAATTTGGTTTTTGAGCTCCCAAGAGCACTAGTTAACACTATTTATTTTGTTTTTTCTCAACCACAAAAGTGAGTCACATAGGATTCGCTTATCATTTCACATACGTTATAAATTTTTAAAACCCGAAAACTTGTTTGGCTAATTCCTCTCGGACCTAAATCTCGGTGCTAAGCAAGCTCGTAACATCAGGGGTGTTACAATCTTCCCCCCTTAAAAGAATCTCATCCCGAGATTCAAACAAGAATCAGAAAGGAGAAAATGCAATTACACTTGACTTCGTAGATCTGAAATTACACGGAAGATTACACGACGCCGAACACTAAACCACACCGAGATTTAGAGATACACGGTTAAGATCAACCTAGTACAACCAAGGCTTAATCCAGAAGTCGAGATAGACAGGGACAATGGAAAAACTACAAGAAAATGATTATCCAAAACAAGACGTATGTCCAACAGATTCAGAAACAGGAGACTGAGAACTCAAACATCGTGAACCCTAAGACCAAACTAACCAAAAGTGGACTTGAACTTCTTCGACGAAAAGCAGATCCCTCCTTCTTCTCGAATTTCGCAATCACCTATGACTGGCGACCCTAGTTTTATGAGCGACGGGTGGATCCCGTAGCTCTGCTTCGGATTCGAGGGGATGGGGACGAAGGAGAGGCGCACAAGGTGGCATCTTATATCTTGGTGGGCGGAGGTGGGGCGCAGCGCACCGGAAGTGAAGGCGGCTTGGATGGAAGACACTGATGGTTCACGAGGTGAGGAAAAAGTCGGCCATGGTGCGCTCCCTGCGCGACCTTGAGTGGAGGGAGGAAAAAGGAGAGGAGAGGGGGTTCGCTCAACGAGAAGGCGTGCGGGCGGCCGTGTCCCCAAAAGAGGAAAACAGGAGGGGGTCTGGTACGGGGATGGGGGAGAGGATCGAGAGCCGACAGGATGCCGGGAAAAAGGGAAACGCACAACGCACGAGTACGGTGGATGCGACATAATGCCGTGGTTACACGAGAACGGGGTACTAGTGGACCCTGACACTGACGGCGTCCGCAGGCGTCTGCTGCCTTGCCTCGGTGTCTCCTCCTCCCGGCGCTGGTTGGGCATCCGCCGCCTCGTCCCTCTCTTCTCGATGCTGGTGATGTTCGGGGGCGGTGCAGGCCCTATGTGGGTGCACGAAACGGTGCGAAAAAAGGACTACAGTCGCACTAGCAAACCCGATTTAGCAAGCTAAATCTGAGTTTATGTGTGTCATAAGCATGTGGGGTGTATTCTAACTTTTACAATCTCATAAACAGATGTGCATGATAACCACTTGTTTAAACTGTAGTTAATTTTTTTCATATGTGATTATATTTATTATAATATATAGTATTTATGGGCCTTGAGATTTATATATCTCTATCGTTTATGTTTATGAGCCTGTTAGGTCTTTATAAAACCCAATACAAATAGGGCGACCGTATTAGGCCTCCAAAATTTTAGAGCCCATACGAGCCTCACATAGCACTCAGCAGTGAAGAGTTTGTTTTGTTTTTTTCCTCGAAAAACATAGGAGAGCTGCACTTTAGTATATTAAGAAGAAGACCCTAAACTACACCTACACACTTTTGACCTAGACCCTGATCGTGATTATATACGAGTTAGAATACATTTCTTGCAATGATACCAAGTTCAATTCTTATAGCGAACGAGCTGATGGCTCAGTGGTGAGAGTTGTTTAGCGGAGTCCCCATAGCCTGGGTTCGAGCCCCGCTCGGCGTAGGCTTCGCATCGGGTTTTTTTCCCCATTTTATTTGTAGCCTCGAGCGGAAATGTTTCACAACGGTCAGGGTGATAAGTAACTATGGTGTGTGTCTTTAGGAAGTTCAGATACTATAACTTGTACTTCAAGTATTGAGAAAAAATTCAATTCTTATATATTGGATTCGGTGGCCTAAAATCCTCTACCAAAGTTTTTTTTGAACTGCCAAAGTTAAGTACACGCGGGGTCTCTCTCACTGCCATTTCAATTCCAGCCCACGCATGGGAAAGCTCCGGGGCCAGAACACAGGCCCGCCGGCAGCCGCCGCCTCCCTCCGCTTCGCCGCGCTCCTCAAGTCGTGCGGCCGCACCGGTGACATCCGCCGCGGCCGCGCCCTCCATGCGCGCCTCTTGCTCACCGGCGCAGCTGCCACGTCCACCTTCCTCGCCAACCACCTCATCACCATGTACTCCCACTGCGCCGACGCGGCCTCCGCCGTCCGCGTGTTCGGCGTCTTACCCTGCCCCAACCTCGTCTCCTGGACGACACTCATCTTGGGTCTCGTCCAGAACTACATGCACCACGACGCGCTCGCCACCTTTGCCGCCATGCACCGTGTGCACGTCGCCCCCACGCAGTTCGCGCTCTCTAGCGCCGCGCGCGCCGCGGCCGCACTCTCCGCCCCGCGCCCCGGCGCGCAGCTGCACTGCATCGGCATCAGGCTTGGCTTTGACACTGAGCTCTTCGTCGCGAGCAACCTTGCGGACATGTACTCCAAGTGCGGGCTCCTTGACGAGGCGTGCAGGGTATTTGAACAAATGCCTCACAGGGATGCCGTCACGTGGACTACCATGATCGACGGCTATGCAAAGAACGGGAGCCTCGAGGCCGCTATTCTGGCTTTCCGGGATATGAAATGTGAGGGACTGGTTGGAGCTGACCAGCATGTCTTCTGCAGTGCGTTGAGTGCATCAGGAGGGCTCAAGGATGGATGGTTTGGTCGAAGCCTGCATTGTTGTATAATTAAGGCTGGGTTTGAACTGGAGACTGTTGTGAGGAATGCGCTATTGGACATGTATGCTAAGTCTGGGGATTTGGAGAGTGCCTCTCGTGTGGTGAAGATTGATCCTGGAGGTTGGAATGTTGTGTTAGGCACCTCACTGATTGACGGTTACATTGAGGCTGATCGTATTGAGGAGGCTCTTGAGACGTATACTGAGTTGGGGAGGCAAGGTGTCGAGCCCAATGAATTCACTTTCTCGAGCATGATTAAGGGCTGTGCCATGCAAGATCTGCTCGAACAAGGTGCTCAGCTGCATGCTCAAGTCATCAAGACAAGTTTGATCAGTGACTCATTTGTTGGTTCCACCCTTGTGTATATGTATGGAAAATGTGGCCTCATAAGTTTGTCCCTTCAGTTATTTAATGAGATTGGATACCACACTGAGGCTGCCTGGAATGCGGTTATAAATGTATATGCACAGCACGGTCATGGTTGGGGGGCAATCCAAGCTTTTGACAGGATGACTGCAAGTGGTATCAGGCCAAATCACATTACATTTGTCTGCCTCCTGACTGCATGCAGTCATGCTGGATTAGTGGACGAAGGACTGGAATATTTTTACTCTATGAAGGATGCACATGGTATTGAGCCTAATGAGGAGCATTATTCATGTATCATTGATATGTATGGTCGAGCTGGGAGACTAGATGAAGCAGAAAAATTCATAAGTGAGATGCCTATCAAACCCAATGCGTATGGTTGGTGCTCCTTGCTTGGAGCATGCCGGATGCGAGGAAACAAGGAGCTGGGAGAGGTTGCTGCGCAGAATCTTATGAAGCTTGATCCCGATAACACCGGTATTCATGTATCCCTTTCTGGGATATACGCATCATTGGGCCAATGGGAGGATGTGAAGTCAGTCAGGAAGTTGATGAAGGATAGCAGTATTAAAAAACTGCCCGGTTTTAGCTAGGTCAATGCTAACAAGAAAACACATGTGTTTGGATCTGAGGTTTGGTAACACCCGAGCAGATACACAAAATTGTAAGACATAATCTGTTACTGATCTCTCTTGCTGCAGCAGAGTTGGCATTTGGTCAGCTCGGCTGTCCAGTCTCTACTGCTGTAGCAGTATGGCAATAGGCCACCTCTAGTACATTAGTTGGTAGCTATTACATCAGCCATGTCTTGCTAATGGGCTGATCTAAGCTTTGTATTGCTAGTACTGGGAGTAGTTGGTGTACCTTAGGAGTAGGTAGTTGGTGTACTCGCCAACAACTATGTACCTGGTAGAGTTACTAGCACTTGTATATATATCACACCTAAGGCAATATAAAAGTTCAGTTTGCCATATCCAGAAGCAGAGCTTTTGGCCAGCGCTGGGCTTGTGCTGTGTGTGTGAGCTGTTCTCAATATCTTCTTTTACCTCTAGTCATAGTGAATGAGTGTGTCGGTAAGCTTACTGCTTACCTGTGGAGGGCAGCCGAAGGACCAACAAAAATGCTTGAGGAACTCTCGAGAAGGATAAAGGAGGAAGGTTATGTCCCAGACACAATCTCCTTGCCACTTAACCTTGAAGATAGAAAAGAGGAGAGGCTTCTGCGCTATCACAGTGAGAGGATTGCCGTTGCTTTTGCTTTGATAAGCATGCCAGCTACAAAACCAATCATCGTGAAGAAGAATTTGCAGATCTGTGTAGACTGCCATTCTGCATTGAAGTTCATTTCTAAGGTAGAAAGCAGGGATATTATCATTAGAGATAATTCTAAGGTTCCACCATTTTGTGAAAGTGAGGTGTTCCTGTGGAAATTACTGGTGACTAACTCTTATCCATCACTTATTTCTTGATTTCTTCCATTGGCATAGAAAGGATACAGACGGCATTCTTACATTGCTGCCAGCTGGTCGTTTCACAATGCTTATACTTGATATCACATTGCAACTGCATGTGAACGTACAGTTACCAGATATAACCATTTTGATGCTGCAGACAAAATATACAGTTACCAGATATAACAATCTCAAGGACAGAAAATGGAAAATGAGACCAAGTGGTGATGAATTCAGACCTGAGCCTTGAGAATTGATATGCAAACTTACAAAAACTACGTCAAGTAAGCTTCAGATGCCTGATGGAATTGAATCCTAGTGTTTCTCTCTCTTATTCTATAACAGTAACACGACTAATTGACATTTGAACATCGTTAGTGCTCAGTTAACTAACATATTTGGCCTAATACTCTAGTAAGACTAGCTATGGGAGGTTACTGGAAATGAGACCAAGTGGAACTGAATTATTTAATACATTTTGCAAAAAGCTCCTTTTTTGAATTTTTTATGAAAAGTCCAAATTGGTCAAAAAATTGACAAAAAAATCAAAATTTTGTATGACCAAATGAGAATGTGTATTTGAAGTGAGCCACCAGGGTCGATTAAGCTCTAGCTTGGCCTTGTTGGAAATCACTCCCTCTCCTTTCTTCAGTGTTTATCACAAACACACATCATGAAATCACTCCTTCTGTCTTCAGTGTTTATCACAAACACTAGGGAGTCAATCCCTCTGTCTTCGGTGTTTATCACAAACACTTGGGAATCACTCCCTCTGTCTTCAGTGTTTATCACAAACACTAGGGAATCACTCCCTCTGTCTTCAGTGTTTATCACAAACACTTAGGAAATCACTCCTATATTCAGTTTTTATCACAAACACACACTAGGAAATCTCTCTCTCTCTCTCTCTCTCTCTCTCTTGGTTGATGCAGCTCTCTCAGTCCTCACCATTTTCTCATACGTATAGCTAATATAATACACCTGCCCATGCTATCCTCCTAATTACTGCAGTCATAACTCCTATGATTGCATATTATTCTCCTTAACTACTAGCTGAAAATCTGCTAGCACTAAAAACTGCACCTAGACACAATGAACTTGGACACATGCATGGACAGGATTAGCTAACAGGCCCTTGGCTGGAACTGTCATATCCTTGAATTAGAAAAGTTGTTTGCACGCTTTACTTAGGGTGAGACCTGTTGGCCCCTGGATCTCCGGCAAGGGTGAGCCGACTGCTCACCAGTGTTGACGACCACACACTATGGCTAGAAGTAGAAGAAGGGAGGGAGAACAGAGCGCACACACACAACACAAGCACCAGCGTTGGCCGGAGCTCTGCAGAGGAGATGGCAATACTGAACTCGCTCTCTTACAGTGGGAAACTATATATACAACTCTACCCATCTAATCCCAGTACACAGACATGTCAGGCTGCCATGCTGCTACAGTGACTAGATGTGACAACAGGGCTGACTTTGGCGCCTGCACTGCAGTGCTACAATGCGGTAGGGGAGCCTTTCGGCGCCTGCCCCTTCCCGCGGCTACAGTGCAGCAGCAGGGAGCCTTTCGACGCCTGTCCCTGCCGCGCGTTCAAACAGGGGAGCAGTAGATTACTTAACAATTCTTCCCCTAATCCTGCTGCTAACCATAGAACCCCCTCCATGCCAATCATCTTCTTTAGCTCCGTGAACCGAAGACGGCCGAGCGGTTTGGTGAGGACGTCAGCGAGTTGCCAACCAGTTTCGGCGAACTCAATGACGATCTGTCCTCCATCGACACAGTCTCTGAGGAAGTGGAACTTGACGTCGATGTGCTTGCTCCGGTCATGGATAACCGGATTCTTCGTGAGGGCGATGGCGGGCTGGTTGTCCACCATCAGTGCTGGTGGATGAGTTTCCACACCGGTCAGCTTCGCCAGAGCCGCGCGCCCACCACGCCTTAACACGCCGTTGGGTCTGGCCACCACGCATCTACCACACGTGACAGACGCCGCCACCACCTTCTGTTTCAGCGACAACCATGAGATTGGAGCCGACCCGAGGAAAACGAGCACGCCAGAGGTGCTCCGCCGTCCGTTGATATCCCCCGCCATGTCTGCATCGCTGAACACAGTGAGCTGCAGCCCACTTCCGCCAGTCTTGGGGAAGACGATCCTCTGATCCACCGCCCCCTTGACGTAGCGCAGCAGCCGCTTCACCGCAGCCCAGGGATCCTCCATGAAGCGGCTGACGTAGCCCACGGCGAACGCAATGTCCGACCTCGTGTGGATTAGGTAGCGCAGACCGCCGACGATGCTCCGATAGAGTGTTGCATATACCTTCGCTGTGGTACTGACCTTCGTTAGCTTTAGCCGCTCCTCCATCGGAGTCACGCACGGCTTGCATTCAGCCATGCCGCTCCGCTCCAATAGCTTTGAGGCGTACACGCTCTGACCGAGTGTGAGTGCCTCCTTCTCTTGTCTCACCTCGATGCCGAGATAGTAGGAGAGCGCGTCGAGATCGCTCATTCAAAAACGAGCCGCCATCTCGCGCTTGAAGCTGTCGATGTCCTTCACACGCGCACCGGTGACGATCAAGTCGTCTACATACACGCCGACGACGAGCTCCTCCTTCCCCCGTCGCCGCGTGTAGAGCGCGTGCTCGGTTGCGCACCATGTGAACCCAAGCTCGCCCAGTGTGGCGTCTAGCTTGGCGTTCCACGCTCGCGGGGCCTGCCGCAGCCCGTAGAGCGCCTTGCGCAGTCGGAGCACCCTATGCTCCGCCCCCTTGATGGCAAAACCCGGTGGTTGCCTGACGAAGACCGTCTCCGCCAGCTCGCCGTTTATGAAGGCCGATTTTACGTCCAGGTGATAGATGCGTCAATCCTTTGCTGCTGCCAAAGCCAGCAACAGTTGGATAGATTCCATGCGCGCTACCGGCGCAAAAGACTTCCTCAAAGTCGATGCTCTCGCGCTGGACAAAGCCTCGGGCGACGAGGCGCGTCTTGTGCTTGACAATGGCACCGCGCTCGTCCCGCTTGACCTTGTACACCCACTTCAGGTCGAGCGGACGACATCCTAGAGGTGGATCGACGAGCTCCCAAGTCTTGTTTTTCTCGATCGCCTTCATCTCCTCCAGCATCGCCCGTCGCCAATTCGCATCGTGCTCGGCCAGCGTGAACGTGGGTGGTTCCTTTGCACTGATGAGAAGCAGCTCTGGGTCATTGAGCAGCTGACCCACTAGGCCTGAGGGCCCTATGCCGCCGCCGATGTCGTCTAGCCGGTGGAACAGCACCTCCTCACCATCGTGGAAGGCATCCACAAACTCAGTGATGTCACTTGGAGGTGAGGCGAACTCGATCGGCGTCAATGGAGTCCCCTATTCCACCGGAGTGGTCGGCACAACACCTGGAGTGGTCGGCACAGCACCTGTAGTGCTCGGCACTACTCCTGAACCGCTTGTCACCACTCCTAGAGTGGTCGGCACCACTACAGGAGTGCTCGGCACTAGTTTTGGAGTGGTCGGCACCACTGCAAGACTTCTCGGCTCCGCTACGGGAGCATTCGGCACCCGTCCTGGAGTGGTCGGCACCACAACAGGACTGCTCGGCACCACTCCTAGAGTGCTCGGCTCTGTTGCTGGAGTGGTCGGCACCTCCTCTCCAGCGTCTCCACCACCGTGGATGACCAAGTGCTCGACGATGAAGGTGCTGGTGAAGCCGTCAGCTTCCCCCGTGCCCGGATTGTTCTAGTCTCAGGCCGCCTTCTCATCGAACATGATGTCACGCGAGGCAACCACCTTGCCTTCGCGTGGGTCGTAGAGCCGGTATGCCTTGGTACCTTCCGCGTAGCCTAGGAGCACCATTGGTGTGCTCCTGTCCTCCAGCTTGGTGATGACCGGCTTCGTCTTCCTGATGTGGCCGATGCAGCCAAATGTTCGGAGGAAGGACACGCTCGGCTTGCGCCCATACCAAGCTTCGAACGACGTCTTGCCCTTCAGGGCCTTGATGGGCGTGCGGTTGAGGATGAACATCGTCGTGGTCACCGCCTAACCCCAGAACCTTGACGGCATGCTCTTAGCCTTTATCATGGATCGAGCCATGCCGACCACTGTCTGGTTCCACCGCTCCACCACGCCATTCTGCTGTGGCGAGTACGGCGCGGTGTGGTGTCGCAACACACCCTGATCCACACAGTATACAGCGAACTTCATCGAAGTGAATTCGCCGCCGCGATCAGTCCATAGCACGCGTAGCTTCTTGCCGCTCTCCGCCTCCGTGCACGCCTTAAACTTCTTGATCGCCTCCGCCGCCTCGTCCTTGCTCATCAGGAGTTGCAGCCACATGTAGCGACTGAATCATCCATGAGCAGGAGGAAGTACCGCCGACCACCGTTTGTGGCTGGCGTGATTGGCCCGTAGAGATCGTCGTGGACGAGCTCGAGAGAGTCCGCCGCGTGATACTTGGCCTCCTTTGGGAACGGCAGCCTCCTCTGCTTCCCGGCCAGGCAGCTGTCACACAACTCGCCTGCATGATTGATGTGGGGCAACCCTCGGACCATCTTGTCCAGCCGACCGAGCGCGTCGAAGCTGAGATGGCCGAACCGGGCATGCCACAGCCACGGCTCCTCGGTGTACCGTGCTGCCAGGCACACCAGCTGCTCCACCTTCAAGTCAAGCAGGTACAACCGGTTCCGGAACCTTGTCACCTTGGCAAGAAGGCGCTCCTCCCGGTCCCTGATCCTGAGGACTCCGTCCTTGATCAGTACCTCGCTGCCGCGCTCATCCAGCTGGCCAATGCTGATGATGCTAGAAAGCAGCTGCGGGATGTAATATACATCCGTCAGCGCACGGTGCTCGCCGTTCTGGCACCTGAAGATGATGGTGCCGCGCCCTCGGATCACCACCCTTGAGCCATCACCGAACTTCACCGTGCCGGTCATGTTGCCGTCGAGCTTGTAGAAGGCTTCCTTGGAGCCCATCATGTGGTTGCTGGCGCTGGAGTCCAGGTACCACCACTGCTCCTGTTCGCCGCCCACACGTCCGAGGTGGACTTGGGTGCGCGGTTTGTCGAGGTTGACAACCTTCAAAGCCTTCCCAGGCCCTTTCACCGCCATCACCTCTCCCTTCTCCTTGGTCTCAACGTCGTGCAGTGCATAGAATGTCGCCATCAGGAGAGTAGCCTCATCATCATCATTAGCCTGCGCCAGATGAGCCTCAACCTTCTTCTCTTGCTTGCGATTTGGGCACTCCTTTGCCCAATGACCCGTCTTCCCGCAGCGCCGGCAGGCGTTGGGGTCGACCTTCTTCTTCTTCTTGTCCGAAGAAGCCTTGTCGCGGCGCTTGCCATCACCACCGCGGCAGGAGGAGGCTTCCCCGGAGTTCCTCCGGACAGCCCATTCCTCCTCTGTCAGTAGCAGCTTGCCGCTGTTCGTTGTTGTTGTGGCCTGCTCCATGCGCTCTTCCACCGCCCGCAGACGGCTGTCACATCCTCAATGGTAAGGGTGGACAGGTCCAGCATCGTCTCTATGGAGAGAGCGATCTGGATGTACTTCACTAGCACGGAGTGGAGGTACTTGGAGACCGCCTCCTCTTTGTCGATGGTGACGCCGTGGCTTCTCAGCTTGCTGATGAGCGACTGCAGGCAGAGGGAGAAGTCCTCCACCGATTCACCATCCTTGAACTTGAAATTGGCGTACTCCTGCTTCAGCAGCTGGGCCATCGCCTTCTTTGCGCGGTCGGAACCAACGAGCATTGCTGCAATGGCCTTACATGCCTCCTTAGCAGAGTCTTCGCCCCCAACGGCTCCCTATACTCCGCTGGCACAGCAACGAGGATAGCCTCCAATGCTGATATGTTGTCTTCTTCGTTGTCGGTGCCCTTGTCAATGGCGTTCTAGAGCCGTCGGGCTCTGAGCTTGACCTTCATGGTCACCGCCCACTCGCCATAGTTGGTGCGAGTCAGCGTCGGCCAACTAGTGCCGCTGACCTCTCGCACCGTGCGCACGACGACCTCCTGTCGTGGCTGGGTAGCGACAGCAGCGGCGCTGCTGTCGCCCATCTAAAAACCGTCCGTCATCGCCAGCGGTTAGTCCGGCGACGACGCTTGTACGGCTCTGATACCACTTGTTGGCCCCTGGATCTCCGGAACGGGTGAGCCGACCACTCACCGGCGTTGTCGACCACACACTATGACTTGAGGTAGAAGAAGAGAGGGAGAACAGAGCGCACACACACAGCAACAAGCACCAGCGTTGGCCAGAGCTCTGCAGAGGAGATGGCAAAACTGAACTCGCTCTCTTTACTGAGTTGCAGTGAAAAACTATATATACAACTCTACCTATCTAATCATAGTACACAAACATGTCAGGCTGTCATGCTGCTACAGTGACTAGATGTGACAGCAGGGCTGACTTTGGCGTCTGCCTCTGCCGTGGCTACAGTGCGGCAGGGGAGCCTTTCGGCGCCTGCCCCTGCAGCGGCTACAGTGCAGCAGCAGGGAGCCTTTCGACGCCTGTCCCTGCAGCGCGTTCATACAGGGGAGCAGCAGATTACTTAACAGATTAAACATACTCAATTTGTCTGATCTTGTTAGAATCAGATACCAGTCTGAAGGTATTGGATTCTCACAATAGAGTATCCTTGTGATTGCCGCATTCCGGAATATCAGCACAACCTTAATATGGAAATCATATGTTCAGAGTCATGCATTGCAATAACAAGCAACTATACACATAATTATTCAAACTAACCACAAGTACATAGCCGCTGATGATCATTGAAAGTATTTATAAACTGGGTATGTTGACCCCGCAGCCGCCACAAGTTTGTCGTGTATGCTCTCATTGCACGTGCATACGAGATCAGTTGTAGATGAAATTGATGTTGCAACCAGAATTTGGAAAAGGGACATGTATGCATGAAGTGGTAGTATAGAGTTCAGTGCACAAGTTGGTTTATCTCTTGGGAGTAGAGGGAGTTCAGTGCACAATAAGTATAGCTGTTACTTGCGTCAGACTTGCTAATACGATAACACTAGATAACCAAACATCCTAAGATAAATCTCCTAGTCTAAGATAACCTGTTGGTTAGTAAAAAAGGTACTGACAGGATCTGATTGATTAGTTTGTTCAGTATGATCAGCCAATGCATTTGAGAATACTGAATATTCAAGGACATAGTTGAAAAACTTTGCTTCGCAATCAATGTGATTGATCAATTCTATCTCTTCAATGTACATATACCATATTAACATGGTATCTATGATGTTTCACATTACAAAACTATGTGCATCATCTCAGCTCTGGAATTACATGCTGAAGATATTTGAATGACTTCTCATAGCTGACAAAGCCCATGAACCAAAAATCAAAGCCATCAACAGTAACTACATCAATATACTTCTCGTCTGGATTGTATAAATTTTCCCGCACTGAAGCACTCTTTATCCTCTTTGTGGGGATCAACACCTGCAGAAGGTACATATTTTATTAGCTTTAACTCAAGTATGTCCGATATCTTTAGGTCATATTTTCTATCTGATAAACTTCAGGTACACATATTGAGAAAGAGATTTTGCTTCAATTACCTTGTAAGGCACCCTTGTACTGCCTCCTTTGGGAGACATGAAATTCAAAGGCCTATCACTATGGAAAGCAATCTTCTTAGTTGAGATGAAAAGCATTCCAGCTATTGGACCAGCTGTGGTTGAAAGATAGCACTGGAAAGCCTTTAGTAGTTTCTCATCTTTATCGACTGCAAAGTATTCTCTGAAGACTTTATCAATACCGCCAGCTTGGAGAACCTTTGCACCGAAGCTTAGTTTCCCTTTTATAGTTTCTGAAATTTTTGGTCCCAGAGTTACTGCAAAGAAAAAAAGATTTATTAGTGATGAACATTTTATTTTATATCAACATAACACAACTTTGTTTGTGAAAAGGACAATGGTTGGATTCTTACAGTGTTCTTTGAACCCTTGCATGTAGTTATCTGTTTTATGGCTCAGTTTGTTCATTCGATAAATGAAGGAACTCTTCTTATCTGTATCATCGAAAGGATATCAAGTCAGTATGGGCACAGAAAGTTTTTTTTTTTTTTGGCAAAGGAAGAACTGGGAAATCAGGTTGCGAGATTCTTACTTTTTTTATGAACCAAGGCAGAACAGGAAGGTTTTCCTTGTCTTTCCTCATCGACATATGCAAACGAAGTCAATGGAATTCCAATGACGTGCTCCTGGGTGAAACTCTCCATTGCTTGGAGAAGCTCTATCTACAAATCTGCTTTGATGCTAGGAGACTTCTCTTTGCCTGTGAGAAGTTGATGCCTGCGTGCTCAGAGTCTGAGCCATATGGGGGCATTTATAAGGTCAAGCCACCAAAAAGGCAACTTTATTCCAGGGAACAATGTGGTGTAACCGAATCAGCACTTGATGCTGCATACTCATCATCGCCTCATCAGGAACAAAAGCAAAGCCTGCTTTCTTGACAAAGGAATGGGCATGAGCAGAACAGCTGGAGCTTTCAGCCCAGCCAATGAGGAGGTGCCAATGCTTTCCTTTCCTACTACACTTTCTATTGCTAATTGCTTAGCACAAGGTGCTGACGATGCAGTTGGTGACAAGCTTATAGTTGCTTTTGTACATTGTAAGGTTCTGATGAGTGAAAAATATAGGTTTTGCTAATAATATAATGAAGACACCTAGTGCATAACCGGTTCTTTTCCCCATTTCAGGAAATAGGATGATGGAGAGTGGAGAGGAAAGTAAAACAAACACGTGGTTGGTTCAAACCTCAAACCAAACTACCTGTATACATTTGGTTCCAGTACATGTTTCCCTTTCATGCATACTTGTGAAGGTTTTGGAATCTCAAATAATCTAGAAAAATATGCACATTTATATGACAAGATGAATGTCAACTGTGTGTTGGAGATGTGGGTTTGATAATCTGCCACTTAGTGTGGAGCAGAAGAGTAACAGAAACTAAAAGATCCTTTCTGCTATGTACTCATCGACACATATTTGTGTAATTACATTCAGAACCTAACCATACTTACAGACACTGCGGGGAAGGAAACGCACAGATGCTTTAGGTCCTGTTCGTTTCGCTGAAATTTGGCTTATGCTGATTTGTTGTGAGAGGAAAACACTGTTCGTTCGCTGAAATTTGGCTTATGTTTTCAGAACTGCTAATGTGGTAATTTGACCTTTTGAGTTCAGTATGGCCTTGTTGATCCATGATATGTAAAGTTGACTATTTGGCATCAATAATGTCATGCTTGCCTCATCACCTTACGAGTTTGTTTTCTTTAAATCTCAAAGCTGTTTACAGCAATTTACTGTTCCTTAATACGAAACTGCTGACCAATGGCAAAAAAAAAAAAAAGTTCTGTTGAGCCTTTCGGTTCAAGATCCTCCTTTTAGCTGTGACTCGACATTAATGGGCCTTTTCACTTGCACCTGTGGGACACAGCATTATGAATCTTAAACAAACTTATAAAAGGTATTTCCCTGTCATGTTCATGGTTTAGGAACATGGTGGCCCAGGTAATGGGCTCGGACTTGTGAATGATGTGTAACGGGACTCATCTGATGTGTCAACTAGTCGATTTCTGCAAATATGGACTGAAGAATACAATAATCTTGCTTTGTTCCAGGTCTCCGTTCCATTTTCCATGCCAGGTGTTGACCTGACATACGTTGAACCTACACACAACCTCGTCAGAGAGGAGATATTGCTCGATAAAGCCACTGGTTGGTGATTGGTTTATAGGTGTGTTATATTAGAGATATTGTATCTGCCCTTTGTCACTTTTGATCTGACGTAGTGACATGTGGCCATGTGGGCTGCGGAAAGTCCATTGACCATTGTACATGAATATTGGCTAAGACCCAGTCTAAGTTACCTGGCTCTGCATTCTATTCATCAATGTGTCAAATGAACTGTGACGTGATAAGAAATCCATATAGATAAACAGTAACCATTTGTCGATAAATGATGACGGTACAGGATTGTGGTCTGCTGTGGTTGCCTGAAACCCAATCCAGCGTGGGGAAGGGGTACAATCCCCTGAACTATCATTTTTATTTAATTATGTAGTTTTATCTTCTAGACCTTATTTATTTATATGATTCATGAACTTCAATGAAAAAATGATTTCCATTCAATAGGATTGATCAATTCTCTCTGTTCAATGTACATTGATATGCGGTGTCGCGGTGAAGTCCAGAACTAAAGGTAGTTTTATTCAAGGGAACAATGTGGTGTAACTTAATCAGCACTTTGTGCTGCATACTCACCATCGCCTCATCAGGAATTAAAGCAAGGCATGCTTTCTTGACTAAAGGAATGAGCACGGGCAGAATACTTGGAGCTTTCAACCCAAATTATGAGGAGGTACTGACTCCCATTACATTTTGTATTGCTTACCACAAATGTTGATGACATGCTAATAGCTTCACTTCATAAGGTGCTGACGGGCGTGCACGTAGGCTTTGCTACTTATGATGTTGAATTCTAATAGTTTATGACACGTGGTGCATAACTGATTCTTTTTCAGTTTTAGGAAATGGGTTCATGGAGAAAGGTGTCAAAACCAAACTATCAATACATATTTCGTTCTTGTACATCTCTTCCTTTCACATATTGAATCACTCTTTTTGTGTAGAATATTGTTAGGGATCTTGAGTCTTGATCAATCCAGAAAAATGTGCATATTTCAGGTTTACATAACAGGATCTATGGCATTTTGGCTGCTCCATAGCGGCCCTAATGCCATGCTTTCTTCATTAGCGCCATTAGTTCCTTTCATCTAAAAGTTCTTTTCAGTAATTTACTTTACCTCATACCTTAATACCACACTGCTGATTAAAGTGATCAAAAGAATAATATTGTTCTGTGCCTTTCAGCTTAAGGTCTTCTTTTCAGTTGTGGCTCCACATTGTTTGTGTGCCTTTTCACTTTTACCTGTGGGCCACAGCCTTGTGTTTTAGAATCGTTTAGGGTCTTAGAATAATATTTCCCTGGCTTCCTGCCAGATCCATGGTTCAGAAACACAGTGGCCAAGATGTGGAATGAGACTAATCAGATGTGTAAAACTACTTGCATTCTGCTAATCTGGACTTCAAGGATATCATAATTAGAGAGTTGAGACCCTTGCACAAGTCTTTGAGGGTACTCTTGATGGTGTCCCCACCAGGTAGAGAAGCGTCGTGTTGTTTCTCAAGGTGTTACAGCAGCCAGGTCTAAACTCAGCAGGATTAGAGACCAAATTTGCTGAGTGAAAACACAGGAAATCAGAATGTGATCGATTGTCTTAGTCTTTACGTTCTATTCATCCACATGTCAAATGAATTTGCAATGCGATGAGCAATGATTAATAATCATTTGTCTACAATGGATGATGGTATCGAATAGGAGTCCGCTGTGGTTGCTTGAAATTCTATCCTGCAAGTGAAAGGGTTACAATTATTTTGCCCTCTTGAACAATCGCTGTGATTGGTGAAAGCATTTGATTCTGTAGCTAGTTTGGTCTTGCGAACTTTTTTTACATAAACAACCAAATTATTTATATGAACAATATGTTCAGTACGGTCTCTCCTGGTGATCTCTATAAAAATGTATTAGATAATGTTGTATCCTTCAAGAACATGGTGGGATGTGTGGGTGGTTTGTTGGTCGCGTCTAGTCTTCTTCAGGAGCGATGCTTGCAAACCTGGCCCTTTGGGGCTTGTATGAGTCTCATTGATTCTTTTTTCTTCTTAATATTAATATAATGATACACAGCTCTCCCACGCGTCCGAGAAAAAAAGAACATTGTGGGGAAAAAATGCTTTCGGTTCAATGTGTGTGATCAATTTTATCTGTGTAATGTACATGTACATGTACATATACCACATCAACATGGTATGCAGTATGTTTGAGACTACTGAACTACGCATATCATCTAAACCTTGAAATTACATGCTGAAAATATCTGAATGATTTCTCATAGCTAATAAAACCCATAAACCAAAAATCAAATCCATCAACAGTAACTAAATCAATATACTTCTCATCAGGATTGTACAAATTTTCTCTCACGGAAGCAGTCTTTATTCTTTTTGCGGGGATCAACACCTGCAGAAGGTACAAAATTCATTAGCTTTGACTTCTTGTGTAAATCCAAATATCTTTGAACCGCATTTTCTATCTCAAACAGTTGAGGTACTATACTATGTTGGAGATTTAAGATTTTGTTTCAATTACCTTGTAGGGCACCCTGGTCCTTTCCCCTTTGGGACATGCTAAACTCAGAGGCCTATCACTATGGAAAGCAATCTTCTCATTTGAGATAAAAAGCATTCCGGCTATTGGACCAGCTGTGGTTGAAAGATAACACTGGAAAGCCTTCAATAATCTCTCATCTTTCTCCACTACAAAGTATTGCCTGAAGATTTTCTCAATGCTGCCAGCTTGTAGAACCTTTGCACCGAAGCTCAGTTTCCCTTTGATAGTTTCAGAAATTTTTGGCCCCAGAGTTACTGCAAAGAAAAAAAAAGATTAAGCAGTGATGAGAGTTTTTACTAATGAACATAACACAACTTTTATCTGCAGAAAAAGAAGACAATGGTTGAATTCTTACAGTGTTGTTTGAACCCTTGCATGTAGCTATCTGTTTTCAGGTTCAGCTTGTTCATCCGGTAAATGAAGGAAGTCTTCTTGTCTGTATCATGCATGGGAAGGGCGCCAAATCAGTCTTGATTTACAAAGTTGTTGCAAAGGGAGAACTGAAGAAGCAGGTGGTGAGATTCTTACTCTTCTTGTGAATCAAGGCAGAATAGGAAGGTTTTCCTTCCTCATTGGCATATGCATACGAGGCCAAAGGAATTCCAATGACATGCTCCTGGGCAAAACTCTCCATTGTTTATAGCCGCTCTATCTGCGATCCTGCTTGGAATTGGATGCTGGGGGGTCTCAATGCCTGGCTCTGAGAAATTGATGCCTACTAGTGCTCAGAGTCCGAGCCATACATGGGCTTTTATAAGGTGAAGCTGCCTAAAACAAGTAACTTTATTCCAGGGAACAAACAATGTGGTGTAACCGAATCAGCACTTTATGCTGCATACTCACCATCGCCTCATCAGATCGACTAAAGGAATGGGCACGAGCACAACACTTGGACCTTTCAGCCCAGCTAATGAGGAGGTAGCGATGCTTTCCCTTCCCACCGCACTTTCTATTGCTTACCATAGACTCTTGATGACATGCTTACATGTATAGTTAGCTTTGTAAGGAATAGGTTCATGGAGAGTGGAGAGGGAAGTAAAATAAACACGTGGTTGGTTCAAACTTCCAACCAAACTACAAACCTGTATGCATTGTAGGTTCCGGTATATGTCTGATGTCTCTCTTTCTCCCTTGCACGTATATTGGAGTTGTTAGCTAAATCTACTGTTACCTTGTGTGAACACAACAAGGGAAGACGGCGCCGAAAATGCCCCCTTCTATGATACTGTAGCCGCTGCAGGTGCAGGCGCCGAACTGCTCACCTGCAGCACTGTAGGCACATGCAGTGGCCGGCGCAGAGTCAGCCCTGTATGTTATCTAGTTACTGTTACAGCATGTACGCTGTATTAGGACTAGATGGATAGAGTTGTATAAATAGACTACCACGGCAACTCAGTAAAGAGAGCTCAGATTTGTCATCTCACAGATAGGGCTTCGACCAACGCTGGTGTCTTGTATTGTGCGTGCATGCTCTGTTCTCCATTCTTCTTCTAGCTCTAGCCATAGTGTGTGGGAACGGACAACGCTTGTTCGTGGTCGGCACGGCTAGTGGGTGCTCGGCAACACTAGCGGGTGCTCGGCAAGACTGGTGAGTGGTTAACTCACCTGAGCCGGTGATCCTGTTGGCCAACAAGTGGTATCAGAGCCGTACAAGCGCCGTTGAAAGCTCTAGTTTGGTTTTGGTTAATTGATGAAACCCTAAGTGCTAACCTAGTTTATCAAGATGATTATGAGATAGGTAGCACTACTCCAAGTGATGAAGCAATAACGAAGATCATGACAATGGTGATAGCATGGTGATGATCAAATGCTTGAACTTGGAAAAGAAGAAAGAGAAAAAACAAAAGGCTCAAGGCAAAGGTATAAAATGTAGGAGCCATTTTGTTTTAGTGATCAAGACACTTAGTGAGTGTGATCACATTTAGGATAGATAGCCGTACTATTAAGAGGAGTGTAACTCGTATCGAAATGCGGTTATCAAAGTGCCACTAGATGCTCTAACTCATTGCATATGCATTTAGGATCTAGTGGAGTGCTAACACCCTTGAAAATATTTGTGAAAATATGCTAACACATGTGCACAAGGTGTTTGCAGGGTTGAGATGGGTTTGGGTCCCTCTCTCCCTCCCGCCGAGCTTGCGAGGCGAGATTCGGCGCTTTTGGAAAAATAAAATGTCTATTTTCTATTGCGCCGGATGCAAAATTCTTGGTGGTTGGCACATTTGAACAAGGGTGAAGAAGTTAGAGTTGAAATGGAGTTGGTCGAAATGATGTTGGCGTTCGGTCTACTGACCGGACGCTGGGTCACTCAGCGACCGGACGCTGAAAGGCTGCGTCCGGTCGAGTTGTCAGACGGCACAGTGGGAAGGGTTGAGCACCGGACGTTGGTCTGCGTCCGGTCAAGGTGGACCGGACGCGTTCGGTCGAAGAAATACGCCTCGGGGAGCTTACTGGAAACGACCGGACGCTGGGGCTTCAGCGTCCGGTCAGTTTTGCCGGAGCGTCCGGTCAGCTTCGTAGCCGTTGAAATCTGACGAACAGCGTTTGAAGCTGGTGACGCATGGCGTCCATCGGGCGACCGGACGCTGAGGGCCAGCGTCCGATCGGTATGACCGGAGCGTCCGGTCAGAGCGTGTTTTGCCCAGTGAAGGGGTACAACGGCTCTATTTGATGGGGGCTCTATTTATAGCCCCATGGCCGGCTCAAGGGAGCTCTCTTGCATATTTTCATTGACATAGCAACCTTGTGAGCTTAGCCAAAGTTCTCCCACTCATCTCCATCATTGATCCATCATCATTGTGAGATTGGGAGAGAATCCAAGTGCATTGCTTGAGTGATTGCATCTAGAGGCACTTGGTATTCGTGTTGCGCTGCGGATTTCGTTTGTTTCTCTTGGTGGTTGCCACCACCTAGACGGTTGGAGCAGTGGTGAAGGATCGGCACGAGTTGGTGATTGTTCGTGGACGTCTTCGGTGATTGTGAGGGGAGTTGTACCTTCTCCGGTGGAGTGCCGAAAGATAACTCTAGTAAATTGCTCGTGTCATTGAGTTACCTCACTTGTGGGTCGGTTCTTGCGGTGTCCTATCGTGTGGACGAGGTTTGTGAAACACCTCTTAGCCGCCGAACCACCAAGTGTTGGTCGACACAACGGGGACTAGCGTGTTGGCAAGCACGTGAACCTCGAGAGAAAAATCGGTTGTCTCTTGTCATTTGCATTCTCCCGGTGATTGGCTATATATTCATCGTGTAATTGGTTCACTCCACGACCCGGCGGTATAATCGTCTCACTTACTCATTTACATTTCCGCAAACTAGATATAGCAAGCTCTTTAGTGTAATTAGAATTGAGAGCTTGCCCTGTGCTTTAAACATATCTAGTGGAGCTCTTTAGTGTAGCTTTTGTGAGAGCTCTTAGTGAGTAGTGGTCAAGTAGATTGTGTGCCAATAGATCATTGCAACTAGAATTGTTGGATAGGTGGCTTGCAACCCTTGTAGAGCTAGAGCAAGTTTGCATTTCGCTATTTGTCTTACTAATCAAATTGCTCTAGTTGATTTGTAGTTTTTAAATAGGCTATTCACCCCCCCCCTCTAGCCATATTAGGACCTTTCAGCCGTCGCCAGACTAACCGCTGGCGACGACGGCGGTTCGGAGATGGGCGACAGCAGTGGCACTGTTGTGGCTGCCCAGCCACGACCGGAGGTCGTTGTTCGTACGGTATGGAAGGTCAGCGGCACCAGTTGGCCGACGCTGACTCGCACCAACTATGGAGAGTGGTCGGTGATCATGAAGGTCAAGCTCATAGCCCGACGGCTCTAGAATGCTATTGACAAGGGCACCGACAATGAAGAAGATGACATGTCAGCGTTGGAGGCTATCCTCACTGCTGTACCGGTGGAGTACAGGGAGCCGTTGGGGGCGAAGAGCTTTGCTAAGGAGGCGTGGGAGGCTATTACGACGATGCGCGTCGGTTCCGACCGCGCAAAGAAGGCGACGACCCAGCTTCTGAAGCAGGAGTACGCCAACCTCCAAGTTCAAGGATGGTGAAACGGTGGAGGACTTCTCCCTCCGCCTGCAGACGCTCATCAGCAAGCTAAAGAGCCATGGCGTCACCATCGACGAAGAGGAGGCGGTCTCCAAGTACCTCCACTCCGTGCCAGCAAAGTACATCCAGATCACTCTCTCCATAGAGACGATACTAGACTTGTCCACCCTCACCATTGAGGATGTGACAGGCCGTCTACGGGCGATGGATGAGCGCTTGGAGCAGGCAACAGCAACGAAGGACAGCGGGAAACTCCTGCTGACGGAAAAGGAGTGGGCTGCTCGGAGGAACTCTAGGAAGGCAGCCTCCTCCAGCCGCGGTGGCGATGGCAAGCGTCGCGATAAGGCTTCTTCGGAGAAGAAGCAGGTCGACCCCAACGCCTGCCGGCGTTGCGAAAAGATGGGCCATTGGGCACGAGAGTGCCCAAACCGCAAGCAGGAAAAGAAGGCTCAGGCTCATTTGACGCAAGCCGATGATGAGGATGAGGCCACTATCCTGATGGCGATGTTCTGTGCACTGCACGACGTCGAGGCCGAGGAGAGGGAAGAGGCGACGATGGTGGAAGGACCTGGGAAGACCCTGAAGACTGTCAACCTCAACGAACCACGCGTCCAAGTTCACCTCGGACGTGTGGGCGCCGACCAGGAGCAGCGGTGGTATCTGGACTCTAGTGCTAGTAACCACATGACGGGCTCCAAGGCATCCTTCTTCGAGCTCGACGGTGATGTTACCGGTACGGTGAAGTTTGGTGATGGCTCAAGGGTGGCTATCCAAGGGCGCGGCACCATTATCTTCATATGCCAGAACGGGGAGCACCGCGCGCTAAAGGATGTATATTACATCCCACAGCTGCGTTCCAGTATCATCAGCCTTGGTCAGCTGGATGAGCGTGGTAGCGAGGTACTGATCAAGGATGGAGTCCTTAGGATCAGGAGACCGGGAGCAGCGACTTCTCGCCAAGGTGAAGAGGTCCCTGAACCGGTTGTACCTGCTCAACGTGAAGGTAGAGCAGCCGGTGTGCCTGGCGGCAAGGCACTCCGAGGAACCATGGATGTGGCATGCCCGGTTCGAACATCTCAGCTTCGACGCGCTTGGTCGACTGGAGAAGATGGTCCGAGGGCTACCCCACATCAAGCACGGAGGTGAGCTGTGCGACAATTGCCTGGCCGGGAAGCAGAGGAGGCTACCTTTCCCAAAGGCGGCCAAGTATCATGCGAAAGACGCTCTTGAGCTCGTTCTGCGGGCCGATCACGCCTGCTACAAATGGTGGTCGGTGGTACTTCCTCCTGCTTATGGATGATTACAGTCGCTACATGTGGCTGCAACTTTTAACGAGTAAGGACGAAGCGGCGACGGCGATCAAGAAGTTCAAGATGCGCGCGGAGGCCGAGAGCGGCAAGAAACTCCGCGTGCTGAGAACTAATTGCGGCGGCAAATTCACTTAGGTGGAGTTTGCTGCGTACTGCGCGGATCAGGGTGTGGGGCAACACCACACCGCGCCGTACACGCCACAACAGAATGGCGTGGTAGAGAGATGAAACCAGACGGTGGTCGGCATGGCCCGATCCATGATGAAGGCCAAAGGCATGCC